ACATTTGTTCCTTTCTTTTGCATGCTGATTGAAGAACATGTTGGTTTCTGCATTTACTATCCACCTATAAAGAAATGTTCAAAGTTAAAAAGCACAACTTATCTTTCAGTGTTGAGACTTTTTAAAGAAAATGTCATGTTGATGTAGGCAGGTAGATAGGGAAAGACTCTCTGCATGAAACAAAGTCTCATAGAAGAAGAATTCTAGGACCGACCCACCCTGTGGACACAGAGAATAAAGACTTGATAAGACCATCCCCAGACCCTGAAGATATGGGCCTCCTCCCCATGAAATTCCTCCTTTCCGAAAACCCCCTTTCAATCCGGTTAACTCCAGCGACCCAGCCCCAAGGAGATTCCAGGACATTCCAAGTCAGAAGATTCTCGAACCCCCTTTTCAATCCGGTTAACTCCAGCGACCAAGCCCCAAGGAGATTCCAGAACATTCTGAGTCAGAAGGATCTATAAGAACCAGCTCGAGAACCCACTTGGCGCTCTCTCCACCCTCGGAGAAGCCCGCGTTCCCTCTGGACGTGTTACTCTCTCTCTCTTACTATCTGCTTATCCCTTTCCCTCCCTCTCCAAAAGCCTCCAAATAAAACCTGTTACTTCACTGCTCGTCTACTCCTGAAATTCTTTTCTGCGAGCGAGACAAGAACCCCAGAAACCTCGGGTAAGGCTTGGGACTGGTCTCTCCTTTCCTGCAAAGAGCGAATTCTCGCCCCAGCTTGAGTCCGTGGCTCCCCGAGCAATCGGGTGGCGGGGATTAACTCCCGTGCTGAGAAGATCAAGTGGACTTCAGGTGTGGCTTGACGGCCACCTTGTGGGGCTTAGGCCCGTGCCGAGCAGGTGCTCACTGCAGACTTTACCGGTCCTAGCCTACCCAGGGTCCCGGGTGGCAGAGGCGGGTGGGGAGAAAGTGACCGTCTTTCTCCTCCCCACTTCACATAAGTCACCCGTGGAGTCCACCAACATCAATGTCTTTGATAGATTCACAGAAAGAGAATGACATTGACGGAGTTGGTTTCATCCTGGAGAGATAAAACCAACTAGAAGTTCCATTACGTTTTATAAGCAGTGGAAGTTCTCAAGATAACCAGATAAGGTCCCTTCCATTTAGACAATAGTTGGTCAGAAGTGAATTCAATTTTCCAGATTTTTTCATAAGACCCAGCTGAATTTTAGTTGGGATCCAATGTGCTGAATCCTGTTGTCCCCAGTTCCTTTCTAGTTTGATGGTCTATGGGTTGAAGTATAACTTTCTTAAGGTCTTCAGATGGAGAATTACTCCCTCTGAACTTTTCTTGCTTAGGCAATATAACTAGCCAAGTTTATTAAAGAATCATGTGGTAAAGGTGGAGAGAACTGTTTCAGTAACATGCATTTTTGTTGAAATCAGATTCTAGTTCTATAAAGGGATTAAACTTTCTTGGGGTATGAGGACATATAACATCTCCCCTTCAAAGGCATAGATTGCAAGTAGAAATTAAATACAGAGAATATGTATTCCAAGAATTTTAAATGTCAGACGCCATCTTGATTTAATGGAAAACATCAATCTTATCAACATGCAGATTATATTGTGGTATTGAAATAAGTGAACCCACTGGTGGCTTATGTGAGGCAGAGAGGAAAGATGTGGTCACTTTCTTCTCATGTCTCTGCCATCCAGAGCGCGCTCTGGGAAGGCTAGGAGTGAGCCCCTGCAAGGAGCCCCTGCATGGATGCCTACTTTGTGTTCTCAGCACAGGGGTTGATCCCCACCACCTGATTCATGGGAGCCAAGGACTCAGCTTGGGGTTGTTAGTGCAAACGCAGATTTTCCTGGTGCTAGTGGGGTCTTGAGAGTTGTATGAAAGATTTGTATTCAAAACTCAGAACAAAGGGACCCTCTTTCACTGCTGGTAGAAATGCCGACTGGCTCAACCCTTTTGGAAAACAGTACAGACGCTTCTCAAAAAATTAGAGACTGAGCTCCCATGTGACCCAGCAATACCACTTCTGGCAAAATATCCTGGAGAGGTAAAAGAATATAGTAGAAATGACATCTTGCACTTGTGTGCTCATTGCAGCACTGTTTACGATAGCCAGAATCGGGAAAAAAACCTGAATGCCTGACAACAGACAAGTGGTTAAAGAAACTTTGGTACATTTACATGATGGAATACTATGCAGCTGTTAGAAAGGATGAAGTCATGAAATTTGCATATAAGTGGATCAACATGGAGAGTATCATGTTTAGTGAAATGAATCAGAAAGAGAGGGACAGACATAAAAAGAGTGAATGCACTTGAGGATTGCAAGCTAGTTTATTGTACAGAAAATGAAGACGGTCCCTACCCCTCATCCAAAGCCTCTCCTTTACCCTTGAACAATGATCAGGTCCTGCCCCTGATGGTGCTTTGTTCCGTGAACAACTTCCCAGTCCTGTCCCATGGTGTCTATCAGCTTCCTGCGGACGATGACCAGGTCCTGTCCTACGCTGCTCTCTATCAGGCATACACTTTCCTCTGTCTCCGGCCAGGGCTGCCCAGGAGGCCAGAGCCCTATGCTCCGCACCTCACTGGGTCTACCAGCTGTATCCCAGCAGTTTCCCGTCATCCAGTCCTGGTTTTCCGATACTCCAGCTTGGCCACGAGCACGTGGGGGAGATTTCAGTTCTCAGTACCTTGTCACTACCTGGGCAGGGCGTCCAAGCTGTGCCTGTACCCACCCCTGTCTGATCCGCCTATATTGGGCCCTGTGTCTGGGTGTGCAACCCTACCAGATGTGGGGAGAGAAGAGAGTCCACAGAGTGAGATGGAGTGGAGAGGGGCTTATTTGCTGCCAAATCCCACCAAGGTTTAAAGTGTCCTGGTGCTCTACACCTCAGGTCCTGCTGTACCCAGATGAGAAACTGCTTTTTTACAAGAAAGTCATTCCCAAGCCTTACCCAGGGATACCAGGGTTTGTCTTGTCTGTCAGAAAAGAATTTCAGTGAGCAGTGACATACAACAGATTTTATTTTGAAGGGTTTTAGGAAGAAGCGGAGGGAGGATAAGTGAGAGTGTAACACGCTCAAGTGAGAGCCTAGGCTTCTCCAAAGTCCAGAGAGAGCCCTACACAATCCCAGCATTAGATATGAAAGCATGAAAGTGCACATCTCAAGAGGGGAGATGTGGGTGCCACTTGTGCTCGGCCATGTGGGCACAAGCAGCACAGGGGCTTGGATAACTTGTGTGCACCCTTCCTTTGTTCAAGGTGGCTTTTGTAGGGTTTCTCTGACCATCCCCTAGAGGGGCTTTTTCTAGCTACATAAGAGTCAAAAGCTACCGGTTGTTGCCAAGGTAGGTAGAGTTGGGAGCGGTCTTCTTGGAAACTTGATTTTTGTTCCAGCTGGATTGTCTCCCTGAGGGTGAGTCCAAGTCCTACCATCTCTAGTCAGGCCAGCTGAGCCTTAAGGGTTAATCAGATGACAGGAAGGAATTGAGTGGGGTCTCCAGTAATTTTCTTCAGGCCCTTTCTGGAGGGAGGGGTCTCGTCTCCTCACGGTCTGCTGCTGGAAAAGGTCTTATTAGGTCTTGCTTTCTGTAAATTGTGTCAGTCTTAGGACTAGTGGCTTTATTACTTCCCAGAAATTTCATTGTCATGATTTGTGTGTGCGTATGTATGTGTGTGTGACAGAGAGAGAATGTATGTGTGTGAGTGTGTGTGTGTGCATGAAAGAGACAGAGAGAGAGTGAGAAAGTGTGTGTGTGTGTGTGTGTGTGTGCGTGAAAGAGACAGAGAGTGAGAAAGTGTGTGTGTGTGTGTGTGTGTGTGTGTGTGTGTGTGTGTGCATGTGTGTAGAACAGGGGGTGCTTCTTTGTTCCCTGTCTGACTGCCTACATTAGTACAAGCAGTGTGTTCCTATTATAACTGAATATTTTCAAAAGCGATGCTGCTGATACGCTACAGACTTGTTTGATTGAGTTTGGGAGGCTGAACGACAACCTGGAAGGATTTAACAGTAACAAGGAGAAAAGGAGCATCTAGAGTATATCAGTGAAGAACAGAGAAGCCACAGAGACAATGCAGAGGAAAAGCTACCTGGGCTTAGCAACTAGATGATAGGGGGCTTTAATTATCTCAGGGAATTTCCAGTTGAAATTTTAGCTGGAGACACAAGCTACTAATCTCACAATTTTGAAATTTTCCTACATTTAATATGCATATTTAGCTGTTTTTCTGGTTCAAGTTCCAAATCTCTAGAAGAGTGCCTTGTTCTTATTTTGTCTCATGATTGCAAGACTGACTCTTTAATGTTCGGTATGTTTTCTATTTTGAAGTATTTATCAGTTTGCCTCAAAGAGCGGAGCACAGTTGTCTGTATCCAGGCAGCAGCACTGATAAACAGAGATTATTTCCTACTTTATAGCACAAACTATATATATATATATATATATATTTGTGAATTCTAATATATGTATACCGTAAAAATATATAGATATATAATCTCACTTCCAGATTTCAGACACTATAAACAATCATTCATATTGCTCCCCTAACCCCAAAAGAACATTTATCTACAGTATAAAGTCATTGACATCATACATTTTTGACACTCTGGATGTTAGCACAAATGTAAATGCTGCATTTTCCCATTTCTCGGTTTCTCCTTGAATATGCTAAGTTCCTTTCCTAATGAGAAGCACCCCAGGTAACTCGGCCTCTGGAATGTGCGTCTGGATAAAGAGCATCCTTCACAGAGGGAGACAATCTGAATTTGCTCATTTTCCTCATCTCTTCCCTATTACCAGGATAACTTGGGAAACACTGAAGAAGATAAAGACTGTTTTTCAGATTTCAGTCTCTGCTATTCTATTTTGTTATCTTATTCCGGTGGGAAGTAACTTTTTATTAAAAACAGGACCATACTGACTTTGATGCACACTGACTTGAAATATATTTTAATTTGATGTCTATTTCTTGTAAGTCAATTCAAAAAGGCATTAAGGTGTTTTTGACATTTATGTTTTCCAGGATTTTTGAGCACAGGAGATCAGGCTGCAAAAGGAAACTATGGACTCCTTGATCTCATACAGGCTTTAAGATGGACTAGTGAGAACATTGGATTCTTTGGTGGTGACCCCTTAAGAATCACTGTTTTTGGATCTGGCGCTGGGGGTTCATGTGTCAATCTGCTGACTTTATCCCATTATTCTGAAGGTAACCGTTGGAGCAATTCAACCAAAGGTATTATGCAGGTTGCAAATTTTGACAATTCTGGTGTCTGCATGCCACCACCATCAGTAGTATGTGATGCTTTGTGTATATTTCCTTGTTCAAACTGTGTTAGGTTGAACTTAATAACCATTTAAAACTTTGCTTCTTCAATTTTTCAATGCATGTTTAAAATTTTGTCAAATTCTTTGTCTCCTGTTAGAGCCTGATAAGGATGCCCTTTCAAGCACACTTCAGAATAGTTAGCATTACACATACTTTTCTTTCCTCCAAAGGAAAATCAAAGAAGTCCACAATTCTGTCATCTCTGTTTACTCAGTAATCAAAAATCAAAGACAAGTGGGTTGTTGTTGTTGTTGATGTTTTAATGCAGGGATTCTGTAATAAATGTTCACAGCAATAGATATTTAACAATCTTTAAAAACAAGATGATAGAAAGTAGTTGTAGGCTAGGTTGTCTAGAACTGCGATTTTTTTTTTTTGCTTGTCTGAAGAGAGAATGGATGATTGATTATTTTTGCATGCATGATCCAAAATTGTCAAAGAATCATAATCACTAGTAGAGCTTTTGAGTATAAAGAAAAATACATTTGAATTTCTGCTTTTTCTATTTCAATCCCCAAACTAATATTTTTAAGCTCTGCAAAGCAGCCTAGGGTACTGAAGTTGCTTCGATCCATAAAATATTTTTTCTTGTCTCATTTTTTGATGTCGATACCCATGTTCCTAAATACCACCCAACGTTCCTCATGTTATTTTTTTATAGACTCCTATTTTTGGATGAATTTAGGTACCCTTTCTGATTGCGTTTTTAGTGTGGAAGATCCACAAGGACAAACTGCATTCTTTCTCTTACATGGATATAACAAGAGCATAGAGAACATACGCTAACATAGGGTCCTGTATTTTCTTTTCTAACTGTAATTTTATAAAAATTGAGTAAGTACACACTGCTAGGTATACTTAATGAGGAATATGTATCTATAACACTGAATTTTATTATATGGACTGCAGAAATAGAATTACCTGTTAATATAAAAATACAAGACGTGAACAATTTCAGTACAGTCCACCATCAACGTAAAGATATTTTGGAAATAAGAAGAGATTTTGAGAATCATACATTATTGTGACTTAATTCATACACATGTTTACATACATTTTGATTTATACTAGTAAAGTTCTAATTGGGATAACAAAATTACATATATGAAAACATTTCTAATTCTATAGAAATCCTGACCTATAATGAAATGGCCTTTCTAAATTAATAACATACGAATTTTTGAACTGAAAAAGTAAAGTATTATAGCCTGAGGGTTCTACTAATATTAATATTAATCTAGGTTAATTTTAGGCAACATGTTTGGAGTTTAGGGTCATTTGATCTTAAATGTTTTGTTTTGTTTTGTTTTTCTAAGAAGTTTTCTAAATGCAAAGAAAAAGTCAGCACCAAAAAGGCCTTAACTAGTAGCTGGCATAAAATCCATAACATTAGCTAGCATTGTTGGAGGAAAAACAGGGAACAAAAGGTTAAAAAGTTTTTTATAAAGAACAAAATAAGAAAGAAAGAGAAAAGCAAGGAAGAAATAGCAGCATCAAGTAATGAAATAAATAAAATTAATATATCGGCTAGCATTGTTATGCATTAATCAATATGGTAATCAGTGACTAGTGGCTATTCAAATAGTTGAAAATAGAACATTCTGTACCACTCTTTAAAGAATACTGTCCATGTGAATCAAAGGCATGGCCTTTATAATTGATCTAATCCTCAGCCTAAGGTACATACAAATTTACCTAATTTAAGCAAGAGATACTCAGATCTTTGGTCTTTGGGTTAATTTTCTCTCCAATACAGACACAACTCATATTTGTCAGATGACAATCACATATTATATACACATGACAAGCACTCCCACTAATGATGAAACATGTTGTTTGCCCAATATCCTCTGAAGCATTTATCAGGCTACATTTAATATGATGTATATATTTCCCTCTAAAATCTTGTTTGGTATATATTGATTGATGAATTATTGATGTAACACGACTTGTAATAGTGTTGTTTTTGCTTGTTGGTGTACAAACGTACTGCAATTTGGCCAAAAGTCCTCCACCGCTGTCTTTACATTCAATCAATGTCATTATGCCATTGAGTTCCATATATTTATCTAGATAGATAGATATAGCCACATATATATATAAACATTCACTAGATTTTAGTTATAAATCATTTAATCAGTAAAATATTTCTCTAATCAAATGTTGACAAGTTGTCATTCTATTTATTTTTGTTTGCTTAGTTTTTCGATACATACCCAGTGATGCTCAGGGCTTCTTCCTCACTCTGTGATCAGGGTCACTCTTCATGGTGCTTGTGGGAACATAGGAGGTGCTCAGGATCAAACGAAGTTCACTTTCATGCAAGGCAAGCACTTGCAGTCCTGCAGTATCTCTGTTGTTAGGTAGTCTTTCTCTTTTTAAAACAATTACCTCTATTGAGGCCAGAAAGACACTACAGATAGTAAGGCTGATTCCTGTCTTGCAATTGATCCCAGTTTCATCTCTGGCATCCAAAACATGATCAAGATTGATTCTTAAGCCCAGAACCAGGAGTGACCCCAAGCATCACCACGTGTAGATAAAAATAAATAATTAAATAAATTTCAAATTGTTTATTAAGCATACATTGCTCTGGCATAGTTTCCTCTGCCAAACTAAAAATATACTTGAAAGGATGTCAGAAATAAAACTAAATTTAAATTAGTATTTCCTGATTTTTAAAGGACTTTGGGCATTATCTAGGAACATGTTACAGTTACTTAGAATATGTATACATGTTTGAAGAAAAATATAAAACATTGCTTCTAATTTAGACTTTATCTTAACACCTTTGTGAAGAGTTCTTATCTCATTAGCACCTATGAATAATCAAGCATATGTTTAAATAACTGAACTACAAAGTTATATTTGAAAATTGATAACAAATGTAATTTTCAGAGGGAAGTAGATAAATTTTGTTCATGAATAATTTTATTGAGAAGTGCTCTAATGAGTAGATTCGATAAAATGCATTTATTAACAAACTTCATATGGGATCATGACTTTTACACCTTAAATGCAATTTGATGAAAAATGGTAGACCATATACTTTTAATCCTTTATGATGAAGTAGAGCAGTGCCCATTCAACAGTGGGAAAAGTGAGTCAATCCCCACTCAATCCTTCTGCTGATGATTTTTTTTTAACCTAATGAAAAACTTCAAATGTTATGTCTTCTCAAACATACTATGTTTTATAGGAAGAGTTGGAAAGAGTATGTCTAAAGTGAAATTCTGTTTTCTGTGTGTTCAGAGTTATCCCCAGGGTATTAGAAAGCTCGAGTCCTTAGATGGGTTCTTGCCATTACTTTTTTTTTTTTTTTTTTTTTTTTTTTTGCTTTTTGGGCCACCCCCAGCGATGCTCAGCAGTTACTCCTGGCTCTGCACTCAGGAATTACTCCTGGTGGTACTCAGGGGACCATATGGGATGCTGGGAATCAAACAAGCGTTGACCGCGTGTAAGGCAAATGCCCTACCCGCTGTGTTATCACTCCAGCCCCATCTTGCCATTACTTTTACAAATAAAATATGATTTAAAAGAATATAACAGACTCAAAGGAATACAGACACTGCCAAATTAGATGATATGCCCACTAAAAACAGTACAACATTTTATGAAGAATTAAAATGGATAAAATTGGCTCTGTCTAGCTACTTTCATAATGACGTGCTGATTTAAATGCTGAGTAAACAAAATATTTGGTTTTTATGCTCTTATTTCTACCTGCTCTTGAAAACTCTGTATATTTCAGAGTTCTTGATCTTTTAGTAGTTGTTGCTCAAAGCAGATGACTTAAGTCCACTGCCCATTAGCTATTATACCCTGGGGATGACTTTATGTATCTTTTCTTATGCAAAACTGTCTCTATCTCCCTGTTCCTTGAGTTGCATCTGGATTTTTATGCACACACTTTACATCAGATGTTATTATTGTTTTATGACAAAATTATCCAAAGGTAATCTGAAACTTTCCCCCCACCTCCCTCTCTCCACAGGACTTTTTCAACGAGCAATTGCTCAAAGTGGAACAGCCTTGTCCAGTTGGGCTGTCAGCTTCCAACCTGCAAAATATGCCCGGATGCTGGCCACAAAAGTGGGCTGCAATGTTTCAGACACAGTAGAATTAGTGGAATGTCTTCAGAAGAAGCCTTACAAAGAACTTGTTGATCAAGACATTCAACCAGCACGATACCACATAGCCTTTGGACCTGTAATTGATGGTGATGTTATACCAGATGACCCTCAGATTCTGATGGAACAAGGAGAGTTTCTCAACTATGATATTATGTTAGGAGTTAACCAAGGAGAAGGTTTAAAATTTGTGGAAAATATAGTGGATAGTGATGATGGTATTTCAGCTAGCGATTTTGACTTTGCAGTTTCCAATTTCGTTGATAATCTCTATGGATATCCTGAAGGCAAAGATGTTTTGAGAGAAACGATTAAATTTATGTATACTGACTGGGCTGACCGTCATAACCCTGAAACAAGAAGGAAGACATTGTTGGCTTTGTTTACTGACCATCAGTGGGTGGCACCAGCTGTAGCAACAGCAGATCTTCACTCAAACTTTGGTTCACCTACATATTTCTATGCCTTTTACCATCATTGCCAAACAGATCAGGTTCCAGCTTGGGCTGATGCAGCTCATGGAGACGAGGTTCCTTACGTACTCGGAATCCCCATGATTGGACCGACAGAGTTATTTCCCTGCAATTTCTCCAAAAATGATGTGATGCTGAGTGCAGTTGTAATGACATACTGGACAAATTTTGCCAAAACTGGGTATGTATATACAGAAATAGAGCTTTTCAAAATTGAATAAAATATCTTAATGTACATTTTGGTCCAAACTGAGTATGGTGAATTAATAGCAGCAGTATATTCCTTGGCTTAAAGATTCTATATTGTCATTTTTTAATTATGAACTTTTTTAGTTTACTAAGAAACTTCTATTTATTACTCTACAAATGTTGGTTTTTCCAAACATTATTACTACATATAGTCATATATATTGTTTTACACACACACACATACACACATATGTATACACACATAAATGTGTGTATATACATATACATATATATATATATTCTTTTACAGTGCTTTCCAGTTTGCAGTTCTGATAAAATTTTGATTCTCCCAGATATTGTGTAATCTATTTAGACTTGACGTCATTAGTTCCATTTTACAGAGAAAAATTCTGAGGTTATGAATTCCTCATGTAGATATCCACATGTCTATTATGTAGCTACATTACTACTCAAATACTCAACAGCCAATTCCAAGTCCTTTCCACTGTCCCCTAATTGTTTCTTCTAGCCTAGGAGACATCACTTACATGCTTTTAAAAATATTTAAGTAAATATCAACCTATTGATAAGTTGATAGAGAATAAGATCTTGAGACCTATATTACAATCAGTTTAGCAGTCTGCTCTGCAATGAGGGAAATATATATATATATAAATAATATTTTTTTTAAAATTTTTATTAGTGAAACACCATGAGGTATAGTTGTAGACTTACAGATATTTGTGCTTGGGTTTCAGTTATACAATGATCGAGTACAATTCATTTTTAAAGCAACATCTTGAAATAGATACTAAGCAAGTGCTATTTTGATTAAGGAAAAATTAATATAGTTCTCATGTCTTTCCTTTCCTAGTGACCCAAATCAACCAGTTCCTCAAGACACGAAATTCATACATACCAAACCCAACCGTTTTGAAGAGGTAGCATGGACCAGATATTCCCAGAAAGACCAACTTTATCTCCATATCGGATTAAAGCCAAGAGTCAAAGAACATTACAGAGCCAATAAGGTAAATCTCTGGCTAGAACTGGTACCTCATCTACATAATCTCAACGACATCTCTCAGTATACCTCGACGACAACTAAAGTGCCATCAACTGACATCACGTTCAGACCCACGAGAAAAAATTCCGTCCCTGTTACATCAGCCCTACCCACTCCTAAGCAAGATGATCCCAAACAGCAGCCGAGTCCATTCTCAGTGGATCAGAGGGACTACTCAACAGAGCTCAGTGTCACCATTGCCGTTGGAGCCTCTTTGTTGTTTCTGAACATCTTGGCCTTTGCAGCTCTGTACTACAAAAAGGATAAGAGGAGACATGACGTCCACAGGAGGTGCAGCCCTCAGCGCACGACAACCAATGACCTGACCCATGCACAAGAGGAAGAGATCATGTCCCTTCAAATGAAGCACACTGATTTGGATCATGAATGTGAGTCCATCCATCCACATGAGGTGGTTCTCCGGACCGCCTGCCCCCCAGATTATACACTAGCTATGAGGAGGTCACCTGATGATGTCCCCTTAATGACGCCCAACACCATTACAATGATCCCCAATACTATACCAGGGATTCAACCCTTACACACATTCAACACATTTACCGGAGGACAGAACAATACTCTGCCTCACCCCCACTCTCACCCCCATTCACATTCAACAACCAGGGTATAGCCAGGTTTAAGAAACAAACTATTTTTTTGATGGATTGCAGTAAAAGACTACTGAAGATTCTTTGGCTTTCAACCTACAAGACTCTTACTATTTAAATAAGAAGGAATATTATGTGGATATACATATCAAGGACTTTGGGGGTTTTGAAAAAAATTAATTGTACATATCTATACGATTCAACTTTCAAAACACATGTCAATTGCCGAAAGCAATTGATCTGAATGATACTTTTTCATTAACATTGAAGGATTCATTTTTTGAAGATTTATGTTGCATAATGGAATTAGGCATGTGGAACATCAAACAGGAAAGAACTATGTCTGAAATATAAAAAAAAATCTAAATAAAAAACCCATGAATATGCACAAGGGACACGCCAATGGAATGTCAGATAATTTCCACCAGTTTTTATTTGGAGCTGTTTTATTGTGTAGACCATATTTACATATTTGGATAAGTACACAAAGCACCAATGCTGTTAATGGCCTTAGCAGAGGCTCATGCTGAAATTTTCCGGTAAAACAGAGAAGTTTAAAGACTGGCAGGTACAACATTATCACATAAGTGCTGTCAGTATAATGTTGTGGGGATAAAGGAAACTGGATATTTTTAGCACGATGTGCATGATAATTTATATGCTTGGTGGCTGTGCTGCTGATTAAGCCGTAATTAAAATTCTTCTCATCCCATTGGAGTTTTTAATAGAAGCTTCCTCCATCAATTGGCAGAACCTAACGAAGATTTTAAGGGGCAGAAGTAATTATAATAAAATAATTCACAGTAGTTTTGATAATAAAGGAATTAGTTAATAAAGGTATTTGAAGAAGCTATAGGTATAGTGGTGAATACTCACTGATACAAACCCCAGAATTTTTTTTCAGTGTTTTTGATGTTCTTTTCATTTTCATTGAAATAATTTATAGAAATAGAACCCTAATTGAACAACATGTGTAACAGGATTATAATTTGTTGGGGGTGTGGTTACTCTGTATTTTGTTCCTTTTGGTAAGGTGAAGTGTGTCCAAAGAGTTACTTGCAACAATCTTTTATGATATGAAGATGCCCCAAATTACCACTCTGATTACAGTTCTCCATTAATTGATTTACTCATGTTGCATGGAAAAAATGTTTACTAATAATCATTCAGTATAAAGTTCTGTCCTTCCTCACGTCAGTTATCTTTCTCACTGAGGTTTATTCACCGGAATACACTCATGCAATCTCAGTAGAGTACAACATAGACAGAGAAGCTAGAAGGAGAGTCAACACCTGGAGGAGTTTAGTCTTACACATGTGTGTGATTTTCAATGATTCTCTAAGACCACAAGACACTCTTCATCCCCTGTTGTTTACCAGTAACAGTATATCACAGACCTTTCCAAATGTTTGTATATGTAATCAGATGTAAATTTATATTAAAAAAATGAGATGGACTTAAAGAGCACATCCTGATGAATACTTTCTCTCTTACCTGTACTATATTTCTATTAGACTAAAGTTATGTGATTTTTTTTTACATTTTTTCAGATGACTAGCAATTTTGATAGTTTGTAAGATAATGCAAAGAACTTTCTCTGACAAACTAACTGCAGTAACAGAAACCTTTCTTTTCAGTTACTCTTTTTCAAGAATGAAAGCTTATTATACAAAAAAAATTGTATATTACTTGATGGAAACAACTTTGTACATCTTGACCATGTCATTGGTCATTGCGTGAAATAAAGATAATCTGGATAATGACTAAGAGTCCAATGCTAAGAGACATGATCTTTCGCTCATTAAAGAGCTAAAATATTTATTGCTGTTTTGTCTTTTTTTAAAAAAAATAATAATGCACAAAAATGACTGTCTCAAAGAGTCATTTATCTAGGTCAGTCGGGTTTTTGAAGACATATATAAGTTCTACAGAAAACACATGTACTTAAAGGCAAATCTTATCTAAGGTGAAATTGGTAAAATTTCAACAGCATAAACTTGTAAGTCCAAAACTCATGAAATATATTAGATCTGTGTTTTTTGAATACCTCATATTTGAAAGTGTTGTAGAAATAGAAAGTGTAAATTCTTTTATGATAGAAACACAGGTTTCAGTTCTGATCAAGGAAAAGGTTTATTGGAAATAAATGTGCAATATTATATAGAATGAGAACAGCTAGGTTTTTAGCGTAAGGGTGATTCAAATAAAAGTGATTATCATAAAATAGTGTAATAGAAAGTTATCTTTTCTAAGGTAATTTAAAAGTTCCGAGTAGGACATTAAAATGACACTGAGAGACAAATCTTTAGTTTCAAGCAATGTCTTTGCCTACAATCCATTTTGCAATTCCTGTTTATAAAATGTAGATATTGCATCATAACATCAAATAAAAATCCATTACAAGCAAAAAAAGTCTTCAAAATCCAGAGTGGTCCACATGCAATTTTTGACTGTGCTTTAAGACTGTGACCTGCTAATGTAAACCAACGAAAAGAATTATTTAGCATCTAAAATGTTGCTTAATCAGAGAATTTTCTTTTACTCTATTGATTAAACAAAATATATGAATAGAAATAGAAACATCAACAAATGAGATGTGAAAGAAATTTTTCTTATGCATTAATTCACTTGGCAAAATCACAGTCTATTATATTTTAATGATAGCAAAATTGTCCTAAATTTTTCCTCTGATCGATCTCTCCAAAACTATAGCTGACATCTATTCTTATCCATTTAGGAAAACTATCTAGAAAAACAAAGAGTAGCCCTATTCCTTTTTAAACAATATATTTTCTAAAGTATGTGGCATCAACTTTGTGGTAGACAATGCCGTCCTGGGTTTCAACTACTGTTCTCAAGTCATGATAAAAATCATTGTAAAAGAGTATTATTTGCAAGTTTTAAATTACAGCAGCTAGTTATCTGAATGTAAAATGATGTCCCAAATAAGTGGTAGACTTTTGAAAGCTGAAAGTTTTTAAAGCTGAAATATCATTTTAAAAGGCAGAGCAATTTAAATATTGCTACTAAATGTAAGCCAATATGTTTGAAATGTATTTACATGACAATTTTTTTTGAAAAAAAATCATGAATTGTTTGGCTTATCTCTTACTCAGATTTTCCTGTCTTGGATTAAATTCAAATAGTGAAAACTGCTAAAAAGTTTATACAAAGATGCATTTAATTCATTGTTTTGCTCTTCTATAAAATTGTTGTTGAATGTTTATTGACAGATTAATGTTTCAAATTATGGAATTAGAAATATAAAAGTGAAAAGTATTATAGTTTTAAACATATATTGAATATGTTGACAGTGAACAAATGCTTGCTGACTGCAATATACATACGAAAGATTCATCACTAACTTTATGGAGATTTAAAAATCATTTGCTAAAGCATTAAAAATATCCAGTTTATATTTGGATACCTTATGTTAGCAACTTAAAGCAGCAAATCTGAGTATAGTTTATTTCACTGCTAATTTTAAATTTAAAAGCTGCCATAATGATGTTTTGATTCAGATTTATCAACCTGTACAGTATGAAAAGAACAAAAAACAATTTTAAAATAATCAACCAAACATGTTTAATACTTCAAAGGAAAACAGATTAGCACTAATTTTCTCACAAAAACATTAATGTCATAACTTAACTGTCATGTCTCTAACAAATCTTATTATTTTACCTCTTGGTAATTTATATTTACATATATTAATACCATGAAAGGATACAAAGAATGTGGTTTTCATGTTCCAGCTTTAAAGACATTACTATATAGAAGAAATCATTGGGGTCCTTCTCTCTCTGTCTCTCTCTCTGTTGAATTTCACTAAAATACTTTCACAGGGCAAAATGGTGATGAAAATTCTTAGGAAGCTGTCAAATATCATGATAGTTCTTTGATGTTTGTTTTTCTCTATGCTATTGATTCAAAGTACTTGCCTTCAACTTTATTTCCAGGAATTAGTTGTCATAGACTATCACTTTTCAATGTGAGTGAAAATTAGGTAATTTGGTAATACTTGTGAAAACATGCTCCCAAATAAATTCAATTAATGGGCACTTCCCTGCTGAGATTTTGTTATAATTCGTCTAATTATCTTGTCAAGCTTTACTGTTACAATTGTTTTGGCTTTTTAGTCAATAAACTAAGGGAATTTCTCTGATAGCCTTACACCTCTCCTGTGCTGGATATAACAACATATACTCTAAATTTCCATAGGAAGTCTCTAAAGAAATTTTCCACTGTTGTGAAACATTTGGTAGCCATGCTGATTATTTTTCAGAGATAAAAAATTTGATTTGATTCTGGCAATTTACTATATTTGTATGCAGGTTGGAAGTCAATTTCATTTGATAAGAGTTGTGAAATATGTAAGTCTAGAGTAAAGCCAAGTGTAGAATATTTATTTTTCACCAATATTTTCTTATAAACTTTATTGTCCTTATTATCATTTGCTTATTTTAATAATTTGATTGAAATAATATAATTGTTCACAGATCTCCAAGAATATTTCTCCTAAAATTTATTTTCTTGCATTCAATTTGATTTTTACAATTTATCAAATAACTGAGACAAGAGTCAGGTTGAATTTAGAAAGTATCAGTTATGTAGGCATCTGATTCAATGGCACGTAAAGTGTAGGTTGTTGCATAGCCAACATATTTGAGCTGGTTTTCCCCCAAAATTTAATTAAAGTATGAGGTTGTTCAGGACAGACAGAATAGGTATATAACTACTTCTAGTCAGTCATTATATATGATACACACACATATTTATATATAGCATATAGACTATATATATATATATAAAATACCCTATGATATGTTTTATATGCATGTTAATGTATAGTTTTAAAACAGTACATATACACATATAATACATACTTATGTATTTTATATATATTTATATATATATGACAAGGATATTTATCATGGTCCCCCAGATTTATATAGATTTACAAGTGACATTTGTTTCTTCTAGATATAAAGTAACATGGCAGAGTTTGGTCATTTTTGGAATATCAAATTAACAGTGTTGAAATGAATGATAGCCCCATTAAAGCTTCATGGAAAATGGTAAACATACAATAACAGAAAATTAGCAGGAGAGTTAAAGCAAAAAGACTATTTCTGAGTGCCATTTTCAGAGATGATATCTATTTTAGATGAAGTGTTTAAAAGGTTTTTAAAGGCGAGGGGGATAGCTCAAAGGGTTAGAGTGTTTGTGTGCAGAAGCCATAGAGTTTGTTCCCGGCACTGCATAGTTCGCTGAGTACCTGGAGTTACCCCAATTTTTTTTCCTAAATTTTCATTAGTGAAACACCATGAGATACAGTTGTAGACTTACAAATTTTTGTGCTTGGGTTTCAGTTATACAATGACTGAATACCCGTCCCTCCACCAGTGCCCGTTCTCCACCACCAATGATCCCAGTATCCCTCCCATCCCCCCATGCCCCCCATTCCACCCTACCTCTGTGGCAGGGCATTCCCTTTTGTTCTCTCTCTCCTTTAGGGAGCTGGCGTTTGCAAAAGAGGAATTGAGTGGCAATCATGTTCAGTCTATCGTCTACTTTCAGCATGCATCTCCCATCCTGGGAGGATCCTCCCAACACCCTTTATTTGGCTATCCCAAATTTTAAAAGAGGGTAGTAGCCCCTGAGTGCCACCAAGTATAGCCTCCCCAAAACAAGAAAAAAAAACTCATTAAAAGAACTTCAAAATTTTATTCACCATTTTCTTTGTACTTACAATATTTAGGAATTTATTGAGACTTTTTATTTTTTGATACGGCCACTAGGCTGCCATGATCCATTGTTTGACCATTCATGGTTTTTATTAAAAAGATATTCATTACTCTGAATAAATATGACCGAATTTTCTTAGCTGTTTTTAAACCCAAAAAATAGTTTTTTTCCCCTGAACATAAACAAGAAACATATCCATATCCATAGGCTCCTTAGAACTTTTTGTTTGTTTTTTGGTGCTCCAACTTCACAAATTCTATGTATTGCCACACTTGTGCTGGTGGTTCTGATTTTACTGAGTGGCATTTCATGACTTGTTCACCTCCTGAAGAATGCAGGAAGAGAATTGGAGCATGAAGTTTGGGAACTTAGATATGTTTGCCATGTTTGTCATGAAGCTTGTCCAAATGATTAAGGAAATAAGGAAGAAAAAGAAAAACTGGAAAGGAGTTAGGAAACAGGAATAGAGGAAGAAAAATTTTGATATTAAGGGAATTTTCATTCTTTTTATAAATAGAAATAGCTTTTTAAAATAAAATGTAAAATATTTTATAAGAAAAGAGAAAATAGGCTTCAATAAATACCTTTAAACCATACCACTTTCTATTTATTGACAAGATTAATGATACTTAACCAGGGATAATCTTGCTCAAGTTGTGCTGCTGGAATCAAAAATAAAGTCTAGAATGACAGAAATTTGGTCTTGCCCTACACAGTCAATAACAATTTTGATAGAGAAGGTTAAGTGATACATAAATATATCTCATCTTCTAAGTGATACATTTGGTAATTAAGGCAGAAGCCTGGAGACTCAATTAAATGATTAAATTAGGTGAACAATAAGTTGGATATTTAATATCCCCTGAATTAGTTTTGAAGTACACTATGGCTACAAACAAGAATTCCTTAAAATGAAGTAAAATAGAATAAAATTAAACTCCTTCCGATAAAAACTCCTTTGAAGTATTAAAATTCCTTACATTTGTCGCATGTCCTCTGCTAAAGAAATCCTACCTTTGTTTTTCTCTTGATCACTCAAGTTTTACTTCATAATCATGTCACTGAACACTA